CAAGCATGAAATTGAGATCCAGAAGACTTAGATCACCCCTGAAAGTTGGCTTCTACTCATATGTAATCAACCTCGAAGTGCCACTGCTTCTGCAATTAGCCTGTGTTTTGTGTTATTTTTTCTTATCCTGTGGCTTAATCAAAATGGAATTATTCAGTATATACTTGTTTTGAATGTGGTGACTTATCAAACTTTATATCAAATTAGCATTTTTTTTTGAAGGCAAGAAGGCACACAAATGTATTAAAGTATAAGCAAATGGTAGTTATACAAGCCATGCTACTCACAGATGAGCTGGGCAGATTGTTGAAGCTCACAGGCTCCCTTCACAGGGGGGAATCCAATGGAACTTGTTGAAAGTTTCAAAAGAAGAGTAAATGATCTCGAGGTGAAACCAGTAGGGTAACAGACCAGACATTGTTTGACAGTCTGCCTGGGTGCTTGTTGGCTGTGCTCTCGTTTTTCCTATAGTCAGTCTTCCAGGGGATTTGTTCAGAACATTAGCTGCAAGGGAAACCAGCGAAAGCTGCTTCCTGTAATTCAGAAGACGGGGGGGGGGGGTGTTGTGGGATATTTTATACTGCATGAAGTATATTGCTGTGATTGAGCAGCCAATAGGGAGGCAGGAGGTATAGTCAGGACTTCCTGGGCCGAGAGAGGAAGTAGGAGAAGGAATCTAGGCCTTTTAGAGAAACTCTGGGAGACAAGGAGGAAGCAGAATGGGGGGTATATGACAGAATGTAGATTAGCCGAAAAAGGTTGCTTTAAGTTCTAAGAGCTAGTTAATAACAGGCCTAAGCTAAGGCCAAGCTCCATTATTAATAATAAGCATCTGTGTCATTATTTGTGAGCTAGTGACCCACAAGAAACAACGTCTACAGAGAAGAATGGAGTTGGGAAAAACACTCAGCAGGGCCAAAAATGACGTGTTATTCCCTGAAACACAGCTCTGGTGACCCCTACCATCTTGCCTAAAGATGTTACTTTTTTATTTGGGAGTTCCACCTGTTTCCTTTAAAAAAAAATAAAAAAGATTGTCTTGAAGTAAAGAACAGTCAAAATCTGTTCCTAAATCCATAAAAGTTACTTTTAACTTTGCATTTTTATTACCTTTCTTAATCCTCTGGGACTTTAAGTTCCAAGGTTAGAATTTTAAGGAGCATCCTGTATTTGTTTGATTCTTCTCTTCATGTTGTAGACAGTAGATTTGTTTTCCATCTAAATGTTTGTTTCATACATTCAGTAACTTCAATGAAATATGTTGTCGGCGAGATGGCTGTTAGATTTAAAATGAAAAGATTAATGAAAATATGATGGCACACATATGTTTAATCTTGGGACTAGTCTTAAAAGTATGAATTATTCACACCAGTAATAGAGTTTTCACTTGGTAGGGATGGATTTGGGGTACTGACTGCATGGAACAAGAATAAAAAGAACGGCAAGATAGGAACATAGAATTAGGGCAGCACATTGAGGGAAAGACCGAGAACTTACAGTCTAATATGAAGCTGGATGGATGTGAGCGGTAGGATGACTCAGGTTAAAAACAAAACAAACAAAATACCCACAAGAATAGAGGTAGGAATACTGCTCAATGGTGGGACATTTATCAAGTATCAGGAATTGCATGCACAGTGATACTCCCCCCTAAATGGTTTCATTGCTGGTAGAGGTAAAGTGATAGTAAAGAGAAAACAGGGCACACTTTTATCAACTGACTCTGTGATAGCCTTCATGCTCCTTTCATCGTGGTTCCGTTTACGGTCATCTGTAGAAGACTCTGTCTCACGGATGTCCTCATGCTTAGATTCTTTCAGTCTTTCTACCTCTCTTCTGCTAAGTTTCCTGAGCTTTAGGTATAAGTATTGTAGAAGTGTTAGTTCAGGCTGGGCACCCTACAGTAAGTCTCTGCAGTTTTACCAATTACAGTTCTTTAATGGTAACTTCTTTGATGAGGGGTGCCTTAGCTGAGGTTGCTAGTGCTATGATGAAACCGTTGAATAAATACAAGTTAGGGATGGAAGGGCTTATTTGGCTTATACATTTATATCATAGCCCGTCAGTAAAGGAAGCCAGGGCAGGAATTCCAACAGGGCAGAAACCTGGAAGCAGGAGCTGATGCAGAGGCCATAGAGGGGTGCTGCTTATTTGGTTTGCTCTTTGGGGTTTGCTCAGTCTACTTTCCTATAGAACCCAGAACTACCAGCCCGGAGATGGCATCACTAACAATGAACTGGGCTCTCTCCCGTCCATCACTGATTAAAAGATTCCCTACAGGCTTGCTCACAGCCTGATATTATGGAGACATTTTCTTAATTGAGGTTCCATCTTCTCAGATGGCATTAGCTTTTAAAGAGTTGACATGCAACTACCCCAGCACAAGGAGTAAGAACTATATTTATCTAGAAATATAATGGCAGGTACTTAGAATGTAGCTGGGAATTATACTGGACTAGGAACATTGCAGTTCCTCGAGGATCCATGTCTCACCAGCCGCAGGTAGTTAACTGACTTACAGAACAGTATATGAATTTCCTCCTATTGAGTGGGCTTTAAGTCCACCCAGGTGGCTGTTGATATAAGTGTTGCAATTGCATTATCAGGGATACCTTCCTGTACTAGTTGGGTAGCATTATTGCAGTTTGGTATGATTTTTAGGTGTCTTTCTCCCTAACCAGCTTGTATGGCATCCTCAAATGATAGGAGAGCTAGTTCTCAGGGAAGAGGTTTCCAGGGCAGTTCCAATTGGATTTCTCCAAGTCCTGTGTCTACGCTGTGTGTGACCTTCACACAAGGGCAACAGCAAACGGTTATGGAGCTCTCTTGGGCTCCTCTAACTAATAATGACTAGAGGGGAGTTTCCCCATGCCTACCAATGGGGTTTCTGTTAGATACTCCCTGACTTTTGGGGAGAATATTTTAACCCCAAGTGACATAATAGATATATTCATATTATATATGTATTTAATAATGTTTTCACAAGGCTCTTCCAGGCATTCTTTCTGTTCTTTGTTGCTCCTACATCCCTTTCTCTCTCTTGGTGTCGCCCTCCTTCCCTCTCCAGATAAAGTGACCACCCTACTTTCTACTTTTCCTGCCTCATCCTTCCTGTCTTTCTGAGACTTTCATGTTTTATGTTCAGATTCCCTGGTTTTCAAGTCTCTTTCACTGGCATCTTTTTCCCCAGGACATATTCTTGTCAGTCTTATGATTAAGGGGACACAAGAAACTATCTCTGAAGATGCACACGGGAAAAACTCATATGCTTCACCTGCAGGAACATGTGTTACGATACCTGACTAGCCTTGTACCTAGAGAGCTACACTGCAATTTCCCAACTAGAATTGTCTCGGTTTCATCATGTTGTTTTATAACTTTAAGTATTTTTGAGAATGCTGATATCATTCTTTTTCTGGATCTATTTTATATGACCTGACTCCTCCACTCTTCATTCTGGAAACATTGGTACCCAGTTATCTCTGAGGAGGAAATAATGCAACTACTATTTTAATGTGATACTTTTAAATTTGTTTTATTAAGCATTTCATGGTTCTTTTTAAGATAATCCCATATTCTTCCACTTTTTCAGGGATAGACTTTTATTGGAAAGCTGAGAAACTTTTTTCTTTATGTACTTTTTTTCCTTTTTTTTTTTTTTTTTTTTTTTTTTTTTTTTTTTTTTT